GAACCTTTCGCATCTTTCTTTGCACCTTTTTTTGCATCCTTTGAGTCTCCAGATTCAGCATCTGTAGATTCTGCATCCTTTTTTGAATCTTTCTTGTCATCTTTCTTTGCACCTTTCTTTGCATCCTTTGAGTCTCCAGATTCAGCATCAGTAGATTCTCCCTCCTTTTTGTCATCTTTCTTTCCTGGTTTTTTATCCTTCTTTGCATCTTTCTTGGCATCTTTTGGATCTCCAGCCTCAGCATCTTTCTTTGCATCTTTTTTTGCATCTTTCTTTGCGTCTTTCTTTGCAGGAGGCTTTGAATTGTTGCATGAGTAATTCTTTAACCATATGTCAAAATCCATTGATTCAGCAACAGACTCCTCTAAACACATTATTAAATTGACAATTGAGCTATTTGTTGTATAAGTCTCTGATTTGCTATCAGAATTTTCATTATTTGTCTTAGAATCTTTGTTTATATTGTTCTTTCCACATAAGGATTCAGTATCTGACTCCTTGGAGTTATTTGAGTTTGTCTTATATTTTGAAAATGTTTTTGATATTACCTCAGAATCTTTGAACACTGGAATTGTTTCTAATTTGCACTTTGACTTCTTAATCAGTTCACTTTCATTTGATGATTTTGAAAGAAATTTATGACCTTTATTTCCATTTTGGAGTGCTTCATCGTTTACAGTTTTTGTGGATTCTGTATTTGTTGCATGTGAATCGTTTTTATTCTTGGAATTCTTCAAAGCTGCTTTTTCATCACTTCTGAAGCTCACATCTTCTGCCTCCATAGGATGAATTTGGGAAGAATAAGGATGTCTGGATGGAGCCTGTAGTTTTAAAATTAGGTAACAGAGTGGCCTTTCAAAAGTTTTTTTAAAAGAATGCCTTATCCATGTATGAGCTGGCTTCTGATCTTCTACTAGCATTGTATTGGCTTGTTTCTGGAAATATTCGATAAATGATAACTATTAGTGAATGAGACATATTTTATCTCTATCAAAATTAGAATTTTTCATATAATTATTTAAAATTTGAAAAAAGTCAGACTTTTGTGTGTATGTATGTTATTTATACCTCAGTAATAAAATGATTTAAGTGGAAACTTTATAGATTTCTTGGTTCATATAAGGATTGGAGAAGGCTCAGAATAATCCATTATATTTTAGGAACTGTCCTTTCAATCAACTTATGATTTCTTTTGGCTTTTGGAACTCTAATTGGAATAATTTGCACATCATTCTTCCACAAATTAGTCTGAAAGATGATCGTCTTAATTATCATTCTAATTATGATTCATATGACAGTTCTTATCTTTGAACCTAATCTACTTCATTCTGCTTTAAGGTTCTCTCACCACATTCAGAACATAGCACCACAATTGTGAAATATAACAACAAACAAGGACATAAAATGAAAACAAACACACATTTGACCTCTGTTATTCTGTGTATCAGTGGTGTAATTTATTGTCAAATATTTGTTAAATATCATTATAAAAGTAAGCTCAAAAAAAGATTTTGCTTTCTTTTCTGTCTTTCAAGTATACACTACAGATGACAAAAATGACATGTTTACCTGTAATAAAAAAGGAATAAGAAGAAAAATTTAAAGCTTAAATTAGTAAAGAAATGAATACCTCTTGAATAATTGTATTGAGTAAAACATTGTAGAAAATATTTTCAAATCAAATGACTGACCCTTATATGTTACTGTTTAATTTTTTCTAATTAATACTATAACACTATATTATAAATGCAATAAAAATATAATCTCTTAGTGTGAATATTATCAACTTCATATTGAAGAAAATTTGAAGGCCCTGAAAACAAAATATTAAATTCTGCTTTAAGATTCAAATTTTAAATCATTTTGCAACTGGTAAACTCTCCAATTGTTAGTGCAAGTTGCAACACAAGTCTCTCTAGCTTTCTTATACAATACTAGCCTTGAGAAGTGATACAGTGCCAATAAACTTGAGTCTGAAATCAGTGGAGACAATTTATGTAGAATAGTAAAGTTATAATTATAAACAGATTTCAACTAACATATTGACACTTACAGGAACTGTGGTTTGGAATTTTGAAAGTCTTGATCTCTCTTTTCTACCTGGCACTGGTGGTTTTGGAAATGTCAAAGCAAAGTTTTCTTGATTGAATGATTTTCTGCTAGGTTCATTGACTGAAATGGAATAAGCCAAAAAAAAAAAAAAAACAAAAAAAAATTTAGAGTTAATAACTAAACGTTCATCAGCACTTAATTATCCTTACATGGAAAAAAAATCTTTACAAAGAAATGCATGATTTTCCCTAACCTTCTAAGGTCAATTAAGACCCAGGACATATGAGAACTTGTACTGTAACGCCATGTACCTTGGTAGTGTCCCAAATTTTCTGATCAAGAAGATTATGGGGCCAAAGAGGAAAGTGATCGATGACGTAGAGTGTGCCTAAGGAGAGTCACATGGGGAGAAGACACTCTCTCAGGCTTTCACAGAGAGCACATTGGCCAAGCAATGGCCGTGACTCATCCACATGGCTGCACTGACAAAGGTTCTACAATCTGAGGTACAGGATCTCAAGATAAATCTTGAGGGCATTTCACTGACCTTCTCAGACCAAAAAGCTACAACTCTTGTTGCACAGGTCCTGCTTTACCTTGGTCTTAACCATCCAGTAGAAAAGTATGAAGACGAAATATAGGAAATAAAGCCATGCTGTTATGTTGAGCTGTGGGGGACTCAGGTCAATAATTTCTGACATTGCCAGTTGAACAGAAGACCCAATGCTATTATGGGCTACTGGACTCTTTTAGAATATTTTGCTGAGTTTACACACCTATAATATTCAATAACGGAACTTAGAAAAAATGGGGTATACTGATGAATGTCCATTTTGTATCTGTGTATTCAAAGTGGTTAGGATAGATATATAGTTGCATTCTCTTAATGAATAGAATGATTTGTTCTAATGGGTTTGTAAATAGGATCACAAGTCCACTTCTTGTACAGCAATTAACCACTAAGAAGAATATATTCAGTGTATTATTTGTTGAAACTGTACTTCCGATTTGATTTGAAACTGTCTCATTGCTATCTGTTTATCAATAAAACTTTGAAAAAAAAGAGAAATGCATGATTTAAATTAAACTCAAAATATAGTATTTTCTCTTTGATATTTACAGTAAATTAGTATAGCAGTTAGGGAATATAAAATCAATTGAACTATATAACAGGGAACTCTGTTTAAAATAGTATTTCTTGTCTTATTTTCTGTTTTAAAACCATTTTCACAGATAGTTACTTATCCATTGTTTTAAGATACTATAATCAAACATAAGGAATGGAAAACAAAGAAATATTCATTGTTTCTTTTCAAATGCCTTTTTTATTTTCTATGCTTTTGGTTCATTTTATTATGTTATTTTGTTAAGATTGACAGTAATACAACTTACTTTTATTTTTATTTTTACATATTTGGTACAGGGTTTCACTACACAGCTTGGATTCATAGAGTTCCTCCTATTTTCAGCCTCTCCAGCATTGGGATTGAAGGCATGCACCACCCCAATAGTAACTAGCATAATATTATGCATAAGTAGTGAAACACTTGATAAACTAAGATTGAGTGTATATATTAGCATTTATTGAAATTCAGTGGCATTGGCTGGAGAGATAGTTCAGTAGAATAAGTGCCTGCCTGGCAAGTGCAGTGTCCTGAGTTCAATCCCGGGTACCGAAAAAAAAAAAAAAAAAAAAAAAAAAAAAAAAAGAAAGAAAAAGTGAAGGTAAGTTCAATGGCATCATTAGCCACAGAAATTAAGTTCACATATTCATTTCAGCTCTTGAAACTCTATTTAAAGAGTGACATACATATACTTGAGTATATACAAAATGGAATAATCAGGAACACCAAACTGTCTAGTGTATCAAAAAAGAAACTGAAGACAAATTTTAGTGTAGTTCTCCAGGAGATGGGGAAATTAATGACAAGTATGGTGACTTTATTCAGTTATTTAAAGAAGTACTATTATATGAGAATAGTAGTAACAATATAAAAACATATTGCAACTGGTAACACTTATGTAATATTTACTACATATGACCACATTCTAATTCCATTATACTTATTGACTCATTTATTTCTTACAAACACTTTTTGAATAGGATAGTGTGATTACTTTCATTTTAGAAATGTTAAAAAATGAAACAATAGCAAAGGTTAAATATTTTTCCCAAATCAAAAAGCTAGTGAGTAGTGGAATTAAGATTGACAGTCAAAATACATACTTTAGACCACAATGTTACTAACTTGTTTAAAGGATTTGAGTGAAAATGAGACATTGGGCAAATTTACAGAATTGTAGGCTTATTTCAGCTCAATATGTAAAAAATAACATTTCTAGAATTTCAGTTATTCAATAAATGTTCTGCTTACTAACTTCCTTGATCTGTCTTCATTTCTAAACATTTAAATTGTAACGATTATTTCTGAACACTAGGGAAATTTATACAAGCACAGGTGATTTGTAGTATGAGTCGATAATTATTTTTATTTTAAATGAGCTAATACAAAACCATATCAAACAGAAATATTTTACATATGTGCGTAAATACATATATAATAATATAAATATTGATATTCACATAATCACATCTAATTTTAACAGCAATTCAGGACAGCTTTTACTTTCTCATATTTTACAACAGGTATTAGTCATTGATTGCTAAAGTTAATTTCAAATATAAGAAATATTGAGCTTCAAAAATGGAAATTCTTACTTGAAATGAAGTTGACATATGCTGTGATGTTCACTTCTTGTCTGTTAAAAAGAAACTGCTTTAAGAATTTGTAATGCGGATTACACCATTATCTTATGCATTATCCTTTAATAGAAACAATAAAAATGAAAGGATTTTTGCATAAAGTTCTTAGACAAAAAGCAGCAAACATAAATATTGAAAAACATGTATACTTAAGTATAAATACTTATCTTCCAACTTCTCTTACCAAAACGAAACCCTGGCCTATAGTGATTATTAACCACTACTAAAGTATTTGTGAAAAAACTTAAAAAATAAAGCAATATAATGTTTAATGACAAGATAAAAGTGATTAATTTGTTTTTTTCTTCAGAAGTAAAACATGTGGAGACCCAGTCCTAGCCCAGGTCCTGTGAGTGTGTGGGAGAGCTTCTGGCTACCTTGTGTGGGCGGGACCTATTACAGGTCCCAATCCAGGCACAGCGTGGGTAAGACCCTCTTCCACCCACTTGGGATGCCCCCCAGCACTCCAAAGCACCTCCCCGACCCCGCCCACCGAGTAAGAATTTCTGCCGCGTTCCTGGAACCTCAAGACACAGTCATAGACCAGGCCTGGTGAGCATGTGGGAGAGCTTCCAGCTACCCTGCACCCGCAGGATCTATTACTGGTGTCAGCCCAGGTGCAGCATGGATGAGACCCTCTTCCACCACCTTGGGATGCCGCCCAACACTCCGCAGTAACTACTCCACCCCGAACTCCAAGTAGGAATTTCTACCCAGTTCCTAGAATCCCCACACCCAGTGTTAGCCCAGGCCCAATGAGTGTGTGGGAGGGCTGCCTCTCCCTGCTACTCCACCTTGTCCTTTCCAGGCTCAACTCAGGCCTGGCATACAGGCCTGGGGTGAAACCTTGCAACTGAAATCCCTGCAGAGAGTGTAGAGGATAGAACCACCCAGCTAGTGCAGGAGTAAAAAATCTGGCCAGAGGGGCACAACAGGTACACCAACAAGGGCAGTAGCAGGAAGGAGCTGAGCACAGCAAACAGACCCAAGCCAGGCACAGCTGGATAAATCCAAACTTTGTAGATCTGCACCTGAACTACAGTACATGCTAAGCTTATAACTACAATGAAGATGTACAACAAAAGTCAGAAGAGAGTGCTACACAAAATGACAAGAAGGAGCAAAATGCAAACTCAGAACCCAATCCCACCCGTAACAAGTGCAGAGGACACTAACACAGAACAAATTGGGAATCACACAGCTGAAAGCAATAAATCAATGGCTTCTGAAATAAAGAAACAGCTGCAGAAAGGTAGAGAGGAACTCAGATTGGAAATAAAAAAAATCGCTGAATTAATAACTACTGCAGTAAGGAATCATATCCAGAAAAATATGGAGGAAACCCAATGCCCACCAAGAACAAGTGCAGAGGACACTAGCTCGGCTCAAATGCATGAAATAATAGCATCAATAGTAAATAAGCAACAGCAGAAAGATACAGAGGCAATCAGAGCGCAATTCTTTTCTGAAATAAAAAAAGAATTTTGAGAACTCATACGTTCTGAAGTAAAGAAGCAACTACAGACTCATACGGAGGAAACCCAATCTAAAAAAAAAAAGAAAAAAGAAAAAAAAACACTACAGTGAAAGAATTTATAACTGCTTCTAAAGAAGACATTGATAAAAAAATAGAGGAGATTAGAAAAACAATGGATTCCTTGAATGAGCAATACAGGAAAGAAATAGATTCCATGAATCAGAGTCAAAGAGATATAGAGGAAATTAAATAATCTCAATCACAAGCTTTCAAAACAGTTTAAGTAAAAGTGAAGACAGAGTTTCAGATCTTGAAGATGCTGGTGCAGCTAGTGAAAAGGTAAGAAAGGATCTCTTAAAAACAAGGATGCAGGAAAGAATAATCTATCACCTGCAAGATGATGCAAAGATGAACAATGCGACACTAATAGGCATCAATGAGAAAGAAGGAGTCAACACAAATGACATTAAAATATATGAGGAAAAGCAATAGCAGAAAACTTCCATACTATAAGGAAACAATCTGATATTCAGGTAACCGAAGCATACAGAATGCCAAGTATCCTCAACCCAATGAAAAACACACTGAGACATATAATAGTCAAGATCCCAGAAATTCAGCACAAAAATAATATACTGAAAGCCACTAGAGAAAAGGAGCAGATCACATTCAAAGGAAAACCCATCAGAATTACGACCCACTTCTCTTCAAAAATCATGAAGGCAAGAAGAGCATGGAGCAGAGTACTTCCAATCCTCTATGAAAAAAATTCCAGCTCAGACTACTATACCCTGCAAAACTCTCTTTCGAGATTGATGGAGAAGTGAAATACTTTCATGAAAAAGAACAGATAAAGCATTTCGTGATGACAAAACCAACTCTACACAGGCTACTGAAAGATGTTCTAGATAGGGAACAAAATGATGAGAACTATATGAATGTGGTCAGAAGCAAACAACTAAATAGGGCATGCAGTTAAAAACAGTAGAAAAAAGAGTAAACGTCAACAGGTAAATAACATGGCAACTGTAAGTCAATACATCTCAATTCTAACCATCAATGTAAATGGACTCAAATCACCAATTAAGGGAAATAGACTGCCACAGTGGATTAGGAAACAAAATCCAACAATATGCTGTATACAAGAGACACATTTAACTCATAAAGACATAAACAGGCTGAAAGTCAAAGGAATGAACACAATACTACATGCCCCAGCACCTCAGAACAAAGCAGGGATAGCAATTCTATTCTCAGACAGTCACAACTTCAAACCAACAATGATCAAGCGAAATCAAGATGGCCACTACATACTGGTTAGGGGAACACTTCAAGAGGAAGTGGTAAAACTCATAAATATGTATGCACCAAACACTAGAGCACCGAACTATGTAAAGCAAATCTTAATGGACATGAAATATCTAATATCTAATAGATCTATTTTAACAAGAGACCTTCACACCCCCTTATCTCCAAAAGATAGGTCCACCGGACAAAAACTTAGCAAAGAAATAACAGATCTGAACCAGAGCTTAAAACAGATGGATTTGGTGGACATATACAGATTGCTCCACCCCAAAACAGCTGAATACATATTTTTTCATCTGCACATGGGTCATTTTCTAAAATAGACCACATACTGGTTCATGGGTCATGCTTAAGTATATGTAAGGAAACATAAATTATCCCATGCATATTATCTGACCACAGTGCAATGAAACCAGAAATAAATGACAAAAGCAACCAGAAAAAAAAAACCTTAAATACATGGAAATTAAATGACACCCTACTCAGCAACCAATGGGTCACAGATGAAATTAAACAAGAAATTCTACAGTATCTACAATTCAATGAAGATTCAAGCACAACTTATCGTAATTTATGGGGTACGATGCAAGTAGTTCTCAGAGGGAAATACATAGCTGTGAACTCACACATTAGGAAAACAAAACAGGAACAAATAAATACCCTAATTCTGCACATTCAACAACTAGAAAAGGAAGAGCAAACCAAACACAGAGCCCAAAGTTGGGAAGAAATCCTAAAGATTAGAGCAGAAATCAATTCAATTGAGACAAAGAAAACAATTCAAAGAATTAAGAAAGCAAAAGCTGGTTCTTTGAAAGATTAAAAAAAATCAAAAAGCCCCTAGCTAACCTCATCAAAAAGAGCAAAGAAAATATTCAAATACAAGCAATAAGAAATGAAAAGGGCGTAATTAGCACATACCCAGTGGAAATGCAGAAGATTATCAATAGCTGCTTTGAGATTACATTAGCTACTCTAAGAATCTTTACTCTCACAGCATAGAAGACACAGAAAAAATGGACAGATTCCTAGAAAGGTACAAATTACCACAACTGAATTGAGAAAATATACCCACTCTCAGTAGCCCAATAACAGCTAATGAAATATGAGATGTAATTAAAAAACTACCAGCAAAGAAAACCTCAGTTCCGGATGGATTCACATCTGAATTCTACCAGATATTTACAGAAGATGGAATCCCTATACTCCTCAAACTCTTCCATGAAATTAAAAAGGAAACAATCCTCCTAAAATCATTCCTAGAGGCAAGAATTGTACTGATACCAAAACCAGGGAAAAACGCAATTAAGAAAGAGAACTACAAGCCAATCTCCCTCATGAACATAGATGCCAAAATCCTTAAAAAATACTATCAAATAGAATACAGCAAATCATCAAGAAGATCATACACCATGACCAGGTAGAATTCATCCCAGGGATGCAAGGATTGTTCAATATTAGAAAATCTATAAATGTAATACACTATATAAATAGAGTGAAAAATAAAATCCATATGATCATCTCCATTAATACAAAAAAGCTTTTGACAAATTTCAAAACTAATTCATATTCAAAGTCCTACAGAAAATTGGAATAGATGGCCTCTACTTCAATCTGGTAAAGCCATTCATGAAAACCCAATGGCTAACATAATCCTAAATGGGGAAAAACTGAAATCTTTATTCTTAGATCTGGTACAAGACAAGGATGTCCTCTATCACCACTCCTTTTCAATATAGTTCTTGAATTACTAGCTACAGCCATTAGACAAGAGAAAGAAAAAAAAAGAATAAGAATAGGCAAAGAAGAACTTAAATTATCTTTATTTGCAGATGACATGATACTTTACTTGCAAGACCTAAGAAACTCTACGAAGAAGCTACTAGAATTCTTGCAGAAATTCAGTAACATAGCAGGTTATAAAGTCAATACCCAAAACTCAATAGCATTCCTCTACACAGAGAACAAACACACTGAGAGGGAAATTATAGAAACAATACCTTTTACAATAGCACTGAGGAAAATGAAATACTTTGGAATTAACCTAACTAAAGAAGTCAAAGATCTTTTCAAGGAAAATTACAATACTCTTAAAAAAGAGGTGGTAGAGGATTTCAGAAAATGGAAGGACATTCCTTGTTCCTGGATAGGAAGAACCAAAATTGTAAAGATGGTCATACTCCCAAAATTGCTGTACAGCTTTAATGCAAT